CCAGAGTAACTCTGGTATCAAACATTTCCTCTAATTATATTCATTAGTGGCTTCTCCCGGACAAGTTTTAATTAAGTTGTACAATGAAGATCAATATTCATTGTGTATTCATTGCAGTTCACAACAAGCATATATGCTGTTCAGAACAATTTAATTACTGTAATTGTAACATGGGAGATACTTAGTGACTGTGTTCCATTACTGACAATCCCCCCTTTTACAAATTTGGTAATGAATTTCTGAAAATTCACATTTATACATACCCTACACCTCTGGTTGTTTTGTAACTTGCACAAGTAATGGGGCAGTATGAATTTTATGAAATCATCCATTTTCAGGAGGAAAACAATTTTAGACATTACTGGGAAGTGCCATGCATGTATTTCTTATTAATCTCTTTATCTATTTGAAGGAAGTCTTTTGAGAAGATCAAATACATTCCTATGGGTTACTTTTATGTGTTTAGTAATATATCCTAATATAAATTCTCAATAAATTATATTAATAATCATGTTAGAATTTTGAGTTTATTCATTTGATTTCATAGACAGATAGATAATGGTATGTGTGTGTGTGTGTGCATGTATACAAATATATATACTATTATAGATGCCAAAATATATACAGTAAATACAGTAATTTAAGTTAAAGTTAATTCAAGTGAGGCAAAACATTTTAGAAAGATCTGAAATTCTATTGATAATAATGGGTATTTTAAGATCTACATATTAAGAAATCTATAAAGATTGCTATATTTCTCATGGGAGGCTGGTTTTGAATTCCTAGAATTCCTATGCATAGCACTTTGCCACTGAGGATTAAACTCAGTTGGTAGTGGAAGACTTTTAGCTTGATGATTTGCTCTACTTTTATCTAGTCTACACAGATATACTGTTGCTCAATATCAAAAGTGAATCAAATGAACCATTAGGATGAATCAACATAACAATTTAGGCTCTGTACTCCCCTGGTATTTAGTCATGTCTAGACATAGCCCTAGTGTCCCAGAAAAACTGAAATGAGGACAAGGACATTTAAGTTTAATATAGCTTTATTCCCATGGAAACTGGAAAAGTCAGCAACAGAGGAAAAAAGAAAAGAGAATGGAACTAACTGAAAAATTGGACATAGTGGAGTGCTGGTGGATTTGGAGGACCAGTGGGTTGTAGAGAAACTTGGGGGGGGGTTGTTTGTATTATTTTTTTATTTTTGTTGTTTTAAATAATAATTTTTAGAAGTGTACTGAAAATCTGAACAAATATTTTTCCAAAGGAGACACACAGATCACCAAAAGGCACATGATAAAATTGTCATTATTACTTGTCATTAGGAAATTGAAAAACAAAACCACAAACAAACACTATCTAACACCTGTGAAAAAGGGCCATATCAAAAAGACCAGAAACAAATGGTGGGAAGGGTGCGGGGAGAAGGGAATCCTTGTACACTTTTGGTGGGAGTGTAGATTGGGCCAATCCCAATGGAAAGAGTATGGAGATCTCTCAAACCTTTTAAGTCAGATTCACTGTGTGATCTAGCATTTTGACTCCATGTATCACCTGAAAAATGCAAAAATACCAATTTAAAGGGATACATGCACCTGAAAATTCAGTAGAATTGTTACAATAGCAAAGTTATTGAAATAGGTTTCTATGACAGATGAGGAGTATATCCATAATGGAATACTAGTCAACTATAGAAAAAAGATGAAATCTTGCAAGCATTTGTGATAACATGGATGTAGATAGCTGGAGAAGTTAAGCAATATGTGGGTCTGCTAATCCTAAGAGCCTATCCAGCCTCCATTTTGTTACTATTTCTAAAGCAAGGTCAAAACTACCTAGTCATAGAAGCCCAACCCGACAGGGTGCCTTTCACATCAATTAACAGCATAAAGCTGGTGGATCACTCTGAGAAGGGGGTGCATCAAGAGGAATGGACCTTAGACCTTAGAAGCTGACCAGTGTTATGCCATATTGATAAGATTGAAATCCTGACTGGGGAGTTAGGACTTGATCTACATACCAAGCTATCTCAGATGAGAAGTACAGTTCCACCCTTTCCCTGCTTCTGCTTCCCCATATGACTAATGTTGTATGACTGGTTTATCTATAAAAAGGGCAGATCTTGCTCTTGAGCAGCAGCCTGCTTTATGTAGCCTATTCTATGACTCCGGTCTCTTTATCAGTGCAGTGTTGCCCGCTGCAACAGCAAAATTAGTCAGGAGAAAGAAAAATGTCAGATGATTTTCTTGATGTGGAGTATAGAGCAGCAAAGTAATAGAAAAACTAAAACAATAAATCTTAGAAATCTGACTGGAGAACTGAAGTTATCAATGAGTGTGGGAAGGTTTGGAGGGTGGGCAATGAGAAAATGGAGCCCATTACTCTATGATAGAAGAACATGGGCATTTTGGTGGTGGGCATGGTATTGTAACATACAGCTGAAGAGATGTGGACGATGGAAAAATTTTTTTTTAAAGATTTATTTATTTAGGCCTTCCCTGGTGGCGCAGCGGGTTAAAGCACAGCACTGAGAAGCTTAAGCTACTTCCGCAGGAGTTCGATCCCCGCCTGCCCGGGTGTGGCAGACCTCTCCTGACCCTCCCGCTGCTCCCCTCAGCAGTGTACTTTGTCCATCTACCTGTTCTGCTCCCCACTCTGTCTGGTGAATTCTCTCACACTCTGCATCTCTGGCCTGTACCCCAGTTCTGTATGAATAAATAAATCATAAAAAAAATATTTATTTGTGCATACAGAACTGGGGTACAGGCCAGAGGTGCAGGGGCAGTGAGAGGATTCACCAGAGACAGAGTGAGGAGCAGAACAGGCAGATCGACAAGTACACTGCTGAGGGGAGCAGCGGGCGGGTCAGGGGAGGTCTGCCGTGCCATGTGGATCTCCTCCGGCGTAGGAGGGGATCCAACTCATGAGGAAGTAGCTTTGATTCTTAGTGCTGCGCTTTAACCTGCTGCGCCAACAGGGAGGGCCTGGACTATGGAAATATTTATGTTTTTTTCTAAAACAATTAAGTTATTGGATTATTCTCATGTTATTATTATAAACTAAATATGTAAGCTTTGTTTGCATATGTTGTATGAAACAAAATGTATGAGTGATAAATGTACATACTTTCTATGGGTGTAGAACATTTCATTTCAATTATGGTCCAGTTTTTTTTCTGTCTGAATTTTATTTTATATTGCCTAATAAAATTTTCTGAACATACTACTCAGCCTTTCAACTGTTATTCATTAGTACCCTATGGTTAGGTTATCAGGTAGAATCATCCTTGTAGCATTAGTGGCATTTGAAGATATTGGCTCTTGAATGTATTTTTAAGGAAGCTTCAATACCACCTGGCATAAGCTAGTTAATTTCTTTTAGGTCCATAAGTTGTGCTCTTTCATAGTGGTTGATTTGTGCAATGGTAAATCAATTTGGGTTACTCACAATAGGTTGGAAAGATGAGCTATAATCCTTGTCTAAAGCATTTTGAATAAGCATACCTTATAAGCTAGTTTTATTTCCAGGAAACAGTAGCTGAACCTTCAGTAGAACTCTTTATAAATATCATATGTGAATGAGTGTGTGCATCTACACACATGAGCAAATGTGCATGCATGCACACACACATACAGCCATGCCTTCCTTTTTGCAATGACAATATTCAGGCTTCCATTTGAGGGATTTCCAAGTATTTAAAAATATCCAGTTATAATTTATGAGTTCTGCCTTTCAAAAATATAGCTGATAGTCTCATAAAAAGCACTTTTAGGCCATCAATACAACTTTGGGGATACCATGACTATTTTTTAAAGATTTATTTATTTATTTATGCATATAAGAACTGGGGTACAGCCCAGAGGTGCAGGGCAAGATGGTAGTAAGAGGATTCACCGGAGACAGAATGGAGAACACAACAGGCAGATTTACTGAAATACACGGCTGAGGGTAGCAGTAGCTACAGGGTAGGAGAGGTCTGCTACGCCGTGTGGTCACTTCCTTGGCTGAGGATCTAAACCCTAGCTGCAGTGGCAGAAAAATAGCTTCATAGTGCAATGTGAACCACCAGGGAGACCCCAAGGACTCAACTATAGTAACAACTCTGAGAACTGCTAGTTTCCTTGGCTTGGTTAAACATGTGTAGACTTATTTCTTAATTAAATTTGCACTTTGGGTTGCATATTTTTGGTTCATATCAGGAAAAATACTATAAGCCTGTGAATAGTTTATTGCTATTTAATGTAAGTTATTTGTTAATTGCATCTTAACAGCTTTCTATAAGAAAACAATATGTTTAACCTCAATTTTATAGCATCAGCTGAATCCTCAAACTTAGAGACTTTAAAAAACTGGCATTGCCAGGCCCTCCCTGGTGGCACAACAGGTTAGAGCACAGCACTATGAAGCTATCCACAGCCATTGCAGCATGAGTTCAATCTCTGAAACAGGGAAGTGAGGTCTGCCCCATAGCTTGGCTGACCTCTCCTGATCTGTCTGCTGCTAACCTCTGCAGTATATTTCAGTCCATTTGCCTACTCTTCTTCCCACTCTCTCTGGTGAATCTCACTCGCTGCACCACTGTCCTGTACCCCAGTTCTGTATGCATAAATAAATAAATATTTAAAAACAAACCAAAAAACCTGGCACTGTCTTTATGGCTTTTGAGAACTTTTATTATTTTCTCTCACTAAATATTCTTTTCTCTTTTTGACTTAAAAAATACAGAGTATTTCATTATTTTCTTTTTCCTTAATATTCTTTTAATTTAATTTTTGTTTGACTAAGATAACACACTTAAGAATGTGCATATTTTTGCTGTAATAGTCTTCAAATATTCAAAAAAACTTGTTCTCTTGCATCCGAGTTTTTTTTTAATTACAACTCTTTACTCATCATAATGAATAATTATTCTCATTTCAATTACATAAGAAATATATATTCTTTTAATAACATTTTAAAGTATTTCACACTTTTGTTTTTCCTTTTCTCTTTCAGTGAATTTGTTGGATTCACGTACTGTCATGGGGGACCTGGGATGGATTGCTTTTCCAAAAAATGGGGTAAGTGTTTATGAATTTTCCCCACAACTTAAACTACTTGAGTACACATCATGTTAAATGTCACACATGACTGAAAATTTATTAGATGTATTTTTTGCTCAGTGAAGTGGGTTTTTGAGCAGAGAAGGGAGACCTCAAATTAACTTTGGACAAAGGAGACAAGTAAGGAAGCGATTTCAGTGAAAACAAAATGTTATTTTCTTCATTGAATATTTTTCCATAAGAAAAAGTGAGGTTTCCTTCAGAGGGTTCAGGAGAGTTTCACATTGAAACAATCAACAGACTTGTAGAATTGGTTAATATATGTAAAAAAAAGATTTCTTTCCATTCTTTAATTTTTCTTCACTGAAAGTTTTTAGAGAAAAAGCTTCATTAGGAGATTTTTATAATCAGTAATATTTTATTCATAAAATATTTGGGGGTGAAACGGTGTTTTTAATGTACATATTAAAGTTTTGGTAATATTTATAATCTTAAAATGTAGTGAATATAAGAAAATTGCCATTACCTTTTTGTTCATTAAAATTCATGTATCAGATGGAAAATGAAAACATAAATAAAATATTGTTACATAAAATCATTATATTACATAGAAAATATTTACTGGGTTGCAGGTTACAGTATTAATAACAATTCATATTTTAGAAATTTGTACTACCTAAACATCTTTATATTTACCTTGACATTTTTAAAGCTAAAATTCATTATAGAACCACATATAAAAAAGACAAAAAATATTTTTAATCTATATCTTAAGAGATGGTGAGCTATGCTGTTTATGATTATATAAGCAATCTAATTTTAGATAAAATTTAGATCATCACAGTGATTTGGAGCACAAATTATGGAATAAATGCCTCTGTAAATGTCCTCCTTCATAAATGTCAGGGAAAAACTGGCAAATGACAGAATCCTTTTTTCATATGCTGAAAGTTAACAAAAATCTTAGAAGAATCCAGGGAACATTATTCAATGGAAGTTAATGAATTTTATTAGAAGCTATATAGTATTTAGGGTTGCTTATGCCCTTTCCTGCTTCACCAGCTCTCAGTTAGCCTTAAAAGACTTCAAACCTGACATCATTGTAAAAACCAGTTGACTGGCAGACACTAGAAGGGACAGAATGCAGAACCATATGCAACAAAGACTTGGGCCTAGAGTATTGTTATCTGACCTGATAGCTCTCTAGAAGACTGCTCTAGTAAGGTCATCCTGATTTGATCCAATGCAGAGATCTCACAGTCCAGAAGTCTGTATCATACGAGGTAAAGTAGAATATTTTTTTAAAGAACATCTTCCTGCACTTCAGGCCTTGGGAATGAGCATTTGGTTATCTGATTTTTCAGATCAATAAAAAAAAAAGTACTCCAATTCTGTGCCTAAGAATTGAGTATGTATTTAAGGGGTACACTTCTATTTCACTCTTGGTAGACTTGTTTCACACATTTCTTAGTAGCCATCACATATCTGTAACATTTTTTTTCTATGTTTGAAAGTTCCTGGACTTTTTATAGCTATCTCATATTTACCATTTTACAGTAATTCTAATGCTTGGGTCAGTTCCTTATATATAGCGGAACTTCAATAAATATTTATTGCTTCTTTTTAATTTATAAAATGTAATATAAATTACTGAGATGTGGTTTTGCATAAAGATTGCATTTGTGGGGCTAAAAGTAAAGCTTTTTGTAGCATTGTCACTTTGTAAACATCCTTTCTTTTAATCTTAGATCATATACCTATTCTCTTTGTGTTAAGAGAGCCATCATTCCCTCAATAGTTTTGTGCTTATGTTTGCATATACCTACATGAATGAATAGCCAGCACTTAAAGATTGGATGATTTCATTTAAAATCTACATTTCCATCTTCTCTCTTTAATGGGAAGTTTCAGATAACTAGAACTAGTAATTTTTCATGTCTCAACTTTCCACATTAGAGACTACTGTTTAAAAGAGTAAGAAAATTCTCCTGTTTGACATATTTTCACTGACCACTCTTCACTCCTTTCATTTACTAGTGTCAAACTGACACTATTGTGGATAGTGTTAAATACTGTTTTTGTTTTTGTTTCTTTAAGATTTATTTATTTATGCATACAGAACTGAGGTGCAGGCCAGTGTTGCAGGGGCAGTGAGAGGATTCGCCAGAGACAGAGTGTGGAGCAGAACAGGCAGATCGACGAAATACACTGCTGAGGGGAGCTGTGGGTGTGTCAGGAGAGGTCTGCCATGCCGTGTGTATCACCTCCTGAGTGGGGAACGAACTCACACTGAAGCAGCTGGCTTGCTTGCAGTGCTGTATTTTAACCCGCTGCACCACCAGGGAAGGCCCAGTGTTAAATATTGAATAAATACCAGATTTTGTGATGTTTCAGGTAAAATTTTATACTTTAAAACATCTATGTTATATGTAGAGATGGTTTCTACCTAGTTTCTGTTAGAGAACTTTATCTTAGTTAAGACACTTGCCTTGAATTTGGACTTGAACATGTGCTTTTTAGCCACAGTGTATGAAATGGACACATCGTGTGTGTGATTTATGATATTCACTTTAACTTTCCTTTTTTATTTGTACATATCTATAGTACATATTACAACACAGTTTATTTCATTAATTCATTCAACAGATATGTATATTGGACACTTGGAATGTGCCAGTTGCGCTTCTAGGCACCCAGTTATAACAGTGCAAAAAGCAAACAAATATTCCTGGTATTCTGGAGCTTAAGGAAGTGTTATTTTTCTGAAAATGAGTAATCAGCAAGTTGCAATGTTGTAAATGAAACCTCTATTCTTGTCTTTTCTTTCTATAAACAAGACAGGCAGAGAAGTGACAGCATTTTTTCACAGTCACTGATGTAGTTTGTGATATGCTGGGAAGAGCATCTGTACTGTATACACCATGTGTCATGCCTCTGCTTATGTTTGTCTGGCCATGCAGATACACACTGTCATGTGCATAAATTCATTTAGTATGAACAATAGCAATGCAAAAGAGAGTAATACATATTTTTTAAGTGACAAAAATGAAAGTAAGAATAAGTGACTTTTCCAAGACTAGGCAGCTGGTAAGAGACTGAGTCCATTTCAAATCCAGCTTCAGGATCTGATTTTTTTTTTTTAATTTAAGAATCTGATTATTTTAAGTCAGATCCAGTCTGATCCAAACTATTAGGTCTCTAAACAAAAGTTGAATTGATTCTGGAAAGAAATGCACCTCTGAGAATGTTTTAAGTGGGCCAAAGTGGGTTGTTCTATTCATTGTTAGTTCATGGTAAGTATTCAAAAAATGTATAGAACATAGGTGATCCAATATTTAAATTGTATCTTAGATATGTATAATATAATAACTAGGTAGAGATAAATAACATAAATAATTAAGAGGGTGAGTTAACTTGATTTCCAGTTCTGTTTATAATTCAGTCTGCTATTTTGGGGTTGTCTGTGAATCTTTCCTATTCATTGAGAATAGATGAATGTTATGTCATCTATCTAGTGGCTTCAGTGTCACTGCTTTAAAATATAGTCAGAAACAGCATTCCAAAAGTAGAAGCAACAATCATACAGCTGTCCTTTGTGTTATGACTATTTAATAAAGTAAGTTGAATGCCACCAGGTGTGACATTCAAAATGTTAAATTCACTTTCATTCATTAAAGAGTATATTGTAGATTTAAGTTTTTTCTTCTCAGACTGACCTTAAATTTGCAAAACAACAACAAAACTAACCCCCACTCCATTGGAAATATAGGACTTGTATCTATTAAAATTGATGCAAAATATGCATATTACTCACATTCCTGTTTTCATTGCTTTGTTGAGTACATATGTCTTTATTCCTGAAGATGTTTTATTTATCTAATTGCTTAGATCACTTACACTTGCTTTTTGAACTGGCTTTCACTCTTTCTATTTCTTTCTTTTTAATGTTCTAAACATATTTTATTCTCCACCATCCTTTATACACATTTGACCTTTACTCTCCCTCTCCCACCACCTTTTAAACTTAGGAGCCTCACATTTTGATGGTTTTATGTTCTTTAACTAAATGCTAATGAATGTGATTGCTAAGTTATATAGTCTTTCCATTTTTATATTTTAAGGTCATATCACTTTCCAGAATGACTGTACCAATTTATATTCCCACTTATAGCATAAGGCTCTTCTTTCTATATCCTTAATGGTGAATATTTTCCAATTATAGAAAATATGTATAATAGTCTTTCTCATTCAGTAGATATCTTTTTTTTTTTTTTGAAAGATTTATTTGTGCATACAGAACTGGGGTATAGGCCAGAGGTGCAGGGGCAACGAGAGGATTCACCAGAGACAGAGTGGGGAGCAGAACAGGCAGACTGATGAAGTACACTGCTGAGGGGAGCAGTGGGCGGGTCAGGAGAGGTCTGCCACGCCATGTGGGTCACCTCCCGGGTGGGATCAAACTCATGCTGAAATTTTAACTTAGTGCTGTTCTTTAACCCACTGCGCCACCAAGGAGGGCCCTCAGTAGATACCTTTTTAATCTAGATTTTCTTTTCCTATATAAAATACTTTTAATTTAAATTAATCCCCAATTTTTTTTTTTTTTTGCTTTTACTTTCCCTGCCATCATAGTCAAATCTCCAAAAACAGTTTTTGATCACTGATGTCATTAAATATGTTGCTAATGCTTTCCCACATATATTTTATTGTTGCAAGTCTTACATTTAAGTCTTTAGTACAATTCGAATCAACTTTTGTGCATGAAGTTAGAGTAATCAACATCATTTTGTTCCATTTTCCTACTATCTTCTCTTAGACTCTCCTTTCCCCATTGGATATTTGCAGCCGTTTTATTATGAGCTGAACATTAATAGACACCTGAGTTTATTTCTGAGCATTTAATTTTATTTCATTGATCCGTGTGCTTGTTTGTATTCTGACACCATATTGTTTTAATTAATGCTGATTTATAGTATCAAGCCAGGTAACATGGGGGCTCCTTTCCTTTCCTTTTTTTC